TACTTGTAGATTTCATAGGATTTTCTACATAGATGAGCATATCATCTGAGAATAAAGATAGTTTTACTTATTCCTTTTTTTTTTTTTTTTAAGATTTTATTTTCAAGTAATCTCTACACCCAATTTGGGGCTTGAGCCCACAACCCTGAGATCAAGAGTCTCATGCTCCACCAAATGAGCTAGCCAGGCACTCTTACTTCTTCCTTTCTAATGAGGCTATCTTTTATTTCTTTGTACTGTCTAACTGCATTGGTTAGAACTACTGGTATGATGTTGAATGAAGAGCTGAAGGCAAACATCATTACCTTGTTCCTGATGTTAGGAAGAAAGGATTCTATCTTTTACCATTAAGTTTAAGGGTAGCTGTATATTAGATACCCTTTATCATACCCTTTATCATGTTGAGAAAGTTTACTTCTTTTCCTAGTTTGTTGGGAGTTTTTACTGTTCTTATTAGGGATTAGTACTAGATTTTATTAAATGCTTTTTCTGTAATTTTTTAAAGTTTATTTATTTTTTGAGAGAGAGTGAGAGAGAGCACACATGAAGAGAGCAGGGCAGGGCAAAGACGGAGAGACAGAATCCCAAGCAGGCTCTGCGCTATAAGTGCTGAGCCTGACACAAGGCTTGAACTCACGAACTGTAAAATCACGACCTGAGCCAAAATCAAGAGTCAGAAGCTTAACTGACTGAACCACCTAGGTGCCCCACTTTTTCTGTATTATTAAGATGATGAAATAACCCAGGTGTTTTCTTTTTTACTCTATTATTACGGTGAATCACAGTGATTGCTTATTGAATGTTAAACTAAACTTACATTCCTGGGATAAACCCTACTTTGTCATGATGTTTTATCTTTTTACAATATATTATTGGATTCAATCTGTTAACATTTTTATTAAAAATTTTTGCACCTATACTCATAAGGATATTAGTCTGTAGCTTTCTAACATTTATTCATTTTTGAGAGACAGAGCGTGAGCAGGGGAGGGGCAGAGAGAGAGAGAGAGAGAGGGAGACACAGAATTCGAAGCAGGCTCCAGGCTCTGAGCTATCAGCACAGAGCCTGATGCGGGGCTCAAACTCACAGACCATGAGATCATGACCTGAGCCGAAGTCGGACGCTTAACCGACTGAGCCACCCAGGAGCCCCTGTAGTTTTCTTTTCTTATAATGATTTTTGACTGGTTTTGGTATCAGAGTAATGTTGGCTTCACAGACTGAGGTGGGAAATATTTCTTCCTCTTCAATTTTCTGGAAGAGTTTGTATAGAATTGCTATGTTTTCCTTAAATGTTTGGTAGAAGTGAAGCCAACTAGGCCTGGATTTTTCTTTGTGGAAAGGTTTTTAACTACAAATTCAACTTTTTTGAAATTCATTTCTATATATTATTTATTTTTATTGTGATAAAATATATGTAACATAAATTTTACCATTCTAACCATTTAAGGGTACAATTCAATGACATTAAGTCCATTCACAATGTTGTGTAACTATCACCACTATACATTTCCAGAACTTTTTCATCATTTCAAATAGAAACTCTATATTCATTAAATAATAACTAATTTCCCCAAGCTCTGTATTCTACTTTCTGTCTCTATGAATTTCTACTCTATTTTGCTTTCTGCCTCTTTGAATTTATGATATTAACTGTGGCCACTTTACTCAAGTGATGTCTGCAAGGTTACTCAATGGCAGAATTACACTTTTTACCTTTATGATTGATAAGTATTTTGTGGAGAGATGCTTTGATACCACACAAATATCCCATTGTTAATAAAATGCCCACTAGTTTAGCATCCACTGATGTTTCTTTGCTGTGGCTATTCTAGGTACCTCACATAAATAGAATCATACAATATTTCTCCTTTTGTGTCTGGTTTATTTTACTTAGTATGTATCAGGATTTCATTCCTTTTTACAACTAAATTAATATTCCAAAGAGTGTATATGTCATATTTTGTTCATTCATCTGTTTGATACATATTTCCAACTTTTTGTTATTGTGAATAATGTTGCTATGAACAGTGATATACAAGTATCTGTCTGAGTCCATGCTTTTAATTCTTTTGGGGTATGCCTAGTTCATTTTTATTTATTCTTGAATGAGCTTTGGTAGTTTATATCTTTCAAGGAATTAATCCATTTATGTTGTTTGTTTTATTGACATAAAATTCTTCATAATATTCTTTTATTATTATTTTTTGTCTTTAGAGTTTGTTTTGATGTCACCTTTCTCAATCTTGGGATTGGTGATTTTTATCTTCTTTTTGACTTGATCAGTCTGGACAGAGATTTCAATTTTATTTTTTCTTTTCAACAAACAGTGTTTGGTTTCATTAATTTTATGTACTGTTTTTCTATATTCTATTTATTGATTTAGGCTCTGATCTTTATTATTTCCTTTCTTCTGCTTACTTTGAGTTTCATTTGATCTTTTTTTAAAATTTAAATTCAAGTTAGTTAACATACAGTGTAGTCTGGGCTTCAGGAGTAGAACTCAGTGATTCATCTCTTACATGTGATACCCAGTGCTCACCCCAAAAAGTGCCCTTCTTAATGCCTGTCACTTATTTAATCCTTCCCCTGCCACCTCTCCTCCAGCAGCCCTCAGTTTGTTCTCTGTATTTAAGAGTCCCTCAGGGTTTACTTTCCTATTTTTATCTTCTTTTTCCTTCCCTTCCCCTATGTTCTGTTGAGTTTCTTAAATGCCACGTATGAGTGAAATCATATGATATCTGTCTTTTTTTTTTTTTTTTTTTTTTTTTTTTTTTTTTTTTTTGGGACAGAGAGAGACAGAGCATGAACGGGGGAGGGGCAGAGAGAGAGGGAGACACAGAATCGGAAACAGGCTCCAGGCTCCGAGCCATCAGCCCAGAGCCTGACGCGGGGCTCGAACTCACAGACCGTGAGATCGTGACCTGGCTGAAGTCGGACGCTTAACCGACTGCGCCACCCAGGCGCCCCATGATATCTGTCTTTTGCTTAGCATAATATCCTCTAGTTCCATCCACGTTGTTGCAAATGGCAAGATTTCATTCTTTTTCATCACCAAGTAATATTTCTGTGTGTGTGTGTGTGTGTGTGTGTGTGTGTACCTTCTTTACCCATTCATCAGTCAATGGACATTGGGCTCATTCCATAATTTGGGTATTGTTGATAGTGCTGCTAATAACATTGGGGTGCATGTGCCCATTTGAATCAGCATTTTTGTATCCTTTTGTATACCTAGTAGTACAACTGCTGGGTCATAGGGTAGTTCTACTTTTAATTTTTTGAGAAACCTCCATATGGTTTTCCAGAATGGCTGCACCAGTTTGCATTCCTACCAACAATGCAAAGGGGTTCCCCTTTCTCCGCATCCTCACCAACATCTGTTGTTTCCTAAGTTGTTAATTTTAGCCATTCTGACAGGTGTGAGGTGGTATCTCCTTTTTCTAGTTTCTGGTTAAGGTGGAAGCTGAGATCACTGATTTGAAAACTTTCTTCTTTTTAGGTACAGGCATTTGGTGTCAAAAACTTCCTTCTAAGTAAAGCTTTAGCTATATTCCAAAAATTTTGATATGCTGTTCTTTTAATTTTCATTCAGTTTAAACATTTTCAAATTTTTTTTGTTTTTTATCCCCTTTGTCCAGTGAGTTATATGGAAGTGTGTGATTTAATTTCTCCAAATTTGGTGGATTTTCCACATATCTTTTTATTGTTGATTTTTAATTCAATTGAGGTTGTCTGAAAAGTTTTTTATTTCACCTTTGTTTCTGAAAGATATTTTCACTGATCTAGAATTCTTTAAAATTACTTTAAAGAATTTTCTCCACTTTCTTCTAGTTTACACTGCTTCTAGTGAGAAACACACTCTCATGTTTATCTTTTGTACATAATGTCTTTTTTCTCTAGTTACTTTTAAATAAGACTTTCTCTTTAAATACTGGTTTTAAGCAATTTGATTATAGTGTGCCTTGGTATAGTTTTCTTTGTGTTTCTTGTGCTTGAGATTAATTGAACATTTTGGATTTGTAGTCATTCTATCCTGCTTGGAATCTGACATTCTATGCCATACCACTGCCATTCCCACCCCCACAGAGATGTCTATTATCAAATTTATTGATTTTTGCCTATAAGAGTGAAAATATTATGTCAGGGTAATTCTAATTCATATTTCTCAAGGGGGGACAAGGATTTTAATTGTTTAAAAGTTACTTGTATCTTTTCTACAACTGTCTGATCATATCCTTTGTTCAGTTTTTGTATTGGTGTATTGCTCATTTACATATTGATTTATCTGTATCTTTTACCTTTTCCATAATAAGTATGTATTTGGGGGGGCAACAAGATACAGTTATTTTTTAAAAAATGCTTTAAAATAGCCATAGTTTCCTGTTATCAGAAAAACACAACCCATGCTAGTTAGTATTTCATTATAGCTTCTCAGGGGCTTATTTTCATCTTCTTTGTAATTAAACCTACCTAGATAACAGGGAGGTATGTGAGCTTAAAAACTTGAGAGTTACTCTGGGCTGCCTATCTTCTGACAAGGAGCCCTGGAAATATCACAAACTCTCATAACTATAAAGAGATTTATAGCACTATCTTAGTCATGACTTTACTGGATCTTCCAAAGGCCCCGAAAGGCTGACAGGATCACTGACAATGACCCCCATTTTATAGACTTTGAACCTAAGGATTGCAAAGGTGAAGTGACTATCATACAGAAGGTTAGACTTAGAAGTTATCTTGAAGATGATTTCATACTATGTACTCAGCATCCCACAATTAGTAACAAAGGCAAAACTCTGGCTTGGACCCAGGTGCTCATTCTAATGACAGCAATCAAAGTAGCCATCTATTCTAAGTTGTCAAGTATATCACTTGAGTAGTCACTCTAAGTAGTCAAGAATAGCTTTTCTTCTTCAGGAGACTGCAGACCAAGCTCCTGATAGGCCATGACTGGGCCAGCATAATGGGGGTGTTGGAGCCTAAAGTCTATCTATGCTCACCTTTGGCAGCGGTCAGCATGGTGGAGGCCAGTTCACACTGCTGTGATTCCAAGTGTCCAAGCGTGAACCAGCGAGGATAACGGCTGGGCACCACAGACACCATATGGTGAGGGTGAGAAGTGTCTCCTGTAGAAGTTGAGCTTTCTAGAACAGGTAACCTAGAAGACCCAGGGAGAGTCATCAGCCACCATCCAGACCCTTACTGTTCTGAGCTACCTTAGAGAAATTTGTTCTTTGCTGGGGAGGAACTGGGCAGGAAAGGGTTAACTATGAGTTTTAAAGGTTTTAAAACTTAGGGCACTTGGGTGGCTCAGTTGGTTAAGCATCCAACTTTGACACAGGTCACGGTCTCATGGTTCGTGAGTTTGAGCCCCACATTGGGCTCTGCACTGACAGTGTGGAGCCTGCTTGGGATTCTCTCTCTCTCTCTGCCACTCCCCATTCCCCCTTCCCCCATCTCAAAATAAATAAATAAACTTAAAAAAAGGCTTTAAAACTTCAGAGTACTATACTGTAAATGAGGTGAGTGTCTGGGTACAAGTAGAACTCAAGCTGAATACTCCTTACTGCAAATGGATTTGAAAAGCAGTTCAAAAGCCCTAAAATTATTTTATAAAGTATAAGAAATATATGCCAAGGAATCCTCAGCAGTCCTTTTCTGGTTCAAGTGAAGAGCTGTCACAGCCTTCTTATCTAACTAAAATTCTTCTGTATGGTCTGCTGCATCCTAGAGGTCCACTTGCCTAATCCAACGATCCTGTTCTAGTTTGAAAATGAGATACCCATAGCTCACTGTTCTAAAGTCTCGGTGTAGAAACTTACTTTTACTTCCTTCAGATGTATCTGGTGACCTATGCCTGGGAACCATGATTCATTTGAGCTATGGAAGGGCTTCAACTTCTTCTCAGTCTGCCTAATGGGCCTCAGAATCAGAACAAAGATACTCAGGTCTTGGATGCTCTCTATCTATTAAAAACTCAGGGGCTTCCTCGGACAACCCACCAAGAGTACAGGTAGCCAAATGGGTCACTAGCAAGGCATTCCAAATAGGAACCCTACATCATATGAAAATCCTTGAGCCATTTTGGGATAGGCTTGGTCCAATATTGTTAGGTCCAACAGAATAGACAGAGGGTAAGAGAAGAAAGTGAGATACACAAAGCACAATAGAGACTTCTGCTTTGATGGAGGCAACTGGACTGGGAAAGGGCTACCTACCTCATGGCACGTAAGGCTAATTTATAGGACAGGTCTGGATCATGAGGCAGTAGAGCTGAGAACAAATACTTGGCAAAGGTATGCATGGGAACACTCTCTCGGTGAATGACTTCTCCTAAACCACTGAAGGGGCCCCCTGCAGGAAGAAGATAAGACAGCCAGTTATTTATCTGTATGCTTCTAATTTGTCCACCTGGACTAGGGTCTTGCACATGTTTGCTGGCCATGGGAGCTTTCACTACACTTTCATGTAAAAAAATATTTCTGTGCAGTGCTCTGTTGGAGGGGAACCCAGAATCATGGGCCTAAGACACTGTGACAAAACTCCTCTCTACTTACCTTCCAGTAGTAAGATACATTGTTTCTGCAGTGTTTGCACTAGCTCATCGTCCAGCTGTAGCTCCTGAAGTCGACTTAGGAGCTGCTCCTCATTACGGCACACCTTGTCCTGTGCGTAGAGGCCTTCAGGCATCACCCTCTGTTGACCCATCCCCATCAGAGCAACTTCCAGGGCCAATGACAGGTAGGATTCATGGCTGTTTGGGCAGCCTGTAGCCATAGGTACATGCTGGTACACAGGGGGTCTGCTTTCATTCATATCTGAGGGCAACAGGGGACCACATTCTTTAGGTCAGCTCTGTGGATTTTTCTGCTCCTCTCTCCCTCCCACTCTGGAATAGTGACAGTTAAGTCATCAGATAGCACTGGGAAGCTGAATCAGAACCCCAGAGCAGTAAGGAAAATATACTGAAAAAAGCTTATACAGAGCCACAAAGATTCCCAACTCCTTCCCAGTATGTGAAGTGGCTAGACAAGTTGGGGAAGAAGAAGATCTTATATTAATTGTTAACACATTATGTAATACCTTGATTATCTGGTTTTGTATCTGTCTCTTTCAGGACAGTGCAAGCATCTTAAAGAGAAGAGACTTTAACTCGTTGCCCTATGCATCTCCAGGGCATAGCATATGGAAGGAGCTAAGTGTATATCAGTGGTGAATAAATCCCAAGTACAATCTCAGGTTTTCAAGATGTAAATGTCATTATGTAGATGAAACAGACCAAAGATTATGATTTCCTTTCATGGAATTAGAGGGAAGATAAGGGCAGCTCTAGCTTGGGCCACCCCTTGTATCTTTACCCAGAGAAATCCAAATCCATCCAGTTAAACTATTACTTTTGTAACATTGACAACTTGTATGTTATTATTACTTCATATGTTCTACTTCTAGGTTCAAAGTTTCAGAAAAAGAGCACAGGTTTAAAGTCTTACACAGGTTTAGAGTCTTGGTTCCTTTTCTTTATCCCTCCACTCATCTGGTAAGTATTTATGGAAAACTATTAAATGAGACGTATTGCACTAAGTGCTGGGATCACAAAGATAAGTAAGTCATAATTTCTGCTTTCAAGAAGCTAAAGTCTAGTATGATAATCACCTGTAAACAAACTGTAATGCAGTGAGCTAAATACTATAACAGACGTATGTATATAATATAGTGATGGCATAAAGGAAAGAAGAACCAATTCTGTCTCTGGTCCTTGCTACTTTGAGACTGCTAAGTTCCTTTCCTTCTAGTTCTCATTGGTAAAATTGGTATATAACCATCATGAGGGAAAAAGTTAAAAGGAAATACGAGTACTATGAAATCGCAAGGGTTACACACACTCTTCTTGTTGGAAGTTCTTTTCCACTTCAAGACTGCTCTGAGGCTTGGCCTCGGCCTCAGCCTCCTGAAATCCCTCTCACTCTTCTTATTCCCTTTGGATCACACTCTTTAGGCATTTATAGTATAGAAGTGAGGGGAACAAAGGAAGGCTGGCAAGGTAAAATGGGAGAATAGGACAGGGCTAGTCTACAGAGTGGGAAAGGAAGGTGGCAAAGAAAGGAAGGCCAAGGCAACCCGTCAGGGCAGGTCCAATTTGGATAAGAGAAAAAAGGCTGCATGAAATGTAGAATAGAGTCTGGCAGGGAGGAGAGGGCTACCAAGGGCAGTTCCAGCTCTCCTCAGGCTGACCCCTGTACCTGACACTTCCAGATAGCCATCATCGTTCAAACGGCAGGCCTCAGTCAAAGTGAGAAACAGGCAGCCAATGGGATCCAGTGGGTGGCCCACCCAACCTTCCAGGTTTGTGATGGTTGTGGTTCCTCTCTGTAACAGTTCTGGAAATAAGCAGACCCAAATTTTAGAAAGTGATGGAGACACACTGCTCTCTGTCCCTGCCTGGGTCTCCTCATTAGTCTCTTTCAGGCACTAGCCTCAAGACTTAAAGAAAATCTTCCCTCTTTGTCTTGCCTTGGATTCATAGGACTGGTCACAAGTTTATCAGTCAGATGTAAGGTCTTGAGGTCTGCATTTAGGCTTCTCACTGGCAGCACAAATATGTAAATATAATTTTACAGTTTTAAAAAGGTCATCTTATACTAGATCTAGTGGGCCTTCCAACTACCCTGTGAGGGAGGCAGACCAGCATTATTATTCCCATTTTGCAGATAAAAAACCCTGAGATTCATAGAGATAAAGTCAGGCATTCCACACAGCAAGTAGAAAAACCTGAAATTCTTGGGGTGCCTGGGTGGGTCAGTGGGTTAAGTGTCCGACTTCAGCTCAGGTCATGATCTTATGGTCTGTGAGTTCGACATGACCAGGACTATGTGCTCGTCCAGTTTCAAGGACCTAGAACCTTCTTGGATTCATGTTCTTCCCTCTCACTCTCTGCCCCCACTCTGTACTCTCAAATTAATAATAAATGTTAAAAAAATTCTCTAGCTCCTGCCACTCCATGAAATTTTATGAAAATAAAATAGTAGGCCTTGTAGCCCCTAAGGATCCTCATTAGTCCCAGCCTAAGGAGTTAAGATGGCTCCTTATCACTATACCTTTCTTCTGATGCTTGTAGATTTCCAGCTGCCGTTGCTGCTGCAACCTCAGAGTATTGATAATGGCCACTGTGAGTCTGAGGGCCTCTTTTGGATAACCATGGGAACGCAGGGCATCAACCCGAGCACAGGCTGTAGGCACATGCTCTACCAGATGAAGAAAATATTTTGGTTGGGTTAGATTTTCCAATCAGGAAAATTCATATTTGACAAAGGGAGTTTGTGTTTTGCTCAGTTCCTAAAATTCAACTGCTATCTACTCTGTACCAAGACCAATGTTTTATTTTTTAAGAATATAACTGAGTAAGTCACAGGCACTACCTTCAAAGAGCTACCATGCAGCCTCAGTATGGCATAGAAAGGAATACATAGCTAGGATAATAAAATGTAAGTACCTCTTTGTGAACTTGTACTATGGGAACCCAATGGAAGTAGCAACTAACTGCCTAAAGGGAAAGGCCTCATTCATTCATTAATCCTACATTTCCTGAGAACCTATTATATGTCAACTCATTTGCCAGCAAAAGGAAGTAAAAATGTGCAAGACAGGTTGCAAGCATTTACATTCCTACCAGTAGTAAATGAGAGTAACTATCTCCACACAACCTTTCCCACACCATAAACTAATTATCTTTATTTTAAAAATCTCTGGGGCACCTGGGTGGCTCAGTCAGTTAAGCATCAGACAGTTGGTTTCAGCTTAGGTCATGATCTCACAGTTTGTGAGTTTGAGCCCCACACTGGGCTCTGCACTGACTGCGGAGCATGCTTGGGATTCTCTCTCTGCCCTTCCCCTGCTTGCCCTCTATGTCTCTCTCAAAATAAATAAATAAATAAACTTAAAAAAAAAAAACTCTCTGACCATTTGACAATCAAAAAATGGTAATTCAGTTTTGTTTTGATTTTCATCTTTGTTTACTGATGAGGTGTATACATTTTCACATTCTTATTAGATTCATGTTTTAGAAGTATTGGATCAAAGAGGAAAGATGACCAAAGGAGACTTCAGGTACTGGCCCACAGTGAGTCTGGCCAAGGCTTTCAAAAGAGAGATAGGGACATACATGCATATTCAGAAAGATCTTGAGAAAGACAAGGATAAGAGGTGAAGGATAGAACTAGGGAATTGGGAGAAGATATAAAAATATATGTCATTGTTGTAAGACTCAGAAAATGAGTATTTTTTTAAAAAAATACTGTCTGTTTTGGAACAGGCATCCTGTGATAAAGTCAAGAAGAGACTGACAGTCAGCCAGAGGAAGGTTTAAACCCACAGTAGAACAGCTCTGTTCCTTTATGATAAAGCGGGTTAGGAAAGGTGGAAAGGAGGAAAGGAAGACAGCTTGGTGACAAATGCAGATAATGCCCTAGTTACTAGCACAGTGTAACTGAAGTTTCAAAGTTAGTGCATTTTTAGCAAAACATATTAATTTCAGAGTAGATTATACTGTTGCTCAGCAAATGTTGACTAAGAGCTTATGAACTGATGTTCAATGGTTTTATTAGTACTCTTTGAGATTTATGGACTCCTTTCCTTTCCTAAAACTCTGGAAACAGAACACAAATTCCAATGTTTGAGGTCATTGTACCTCAGCTAAGTACACATGCAAATGGCTGAGGCTTCACATAAATACCCTGAGTCACTAGTTAAGGCCCCAAAAGATCTGTCCAAATTGTAGTTGTGTCACCAGCACCTATGCAGATCTGGCTTGGCACAAGTTAAGACTGGGCTTTGAAATTCTTAGAGTAGAGGAGAGGTACACTTACCAAGCCACAGTGGCTGGCCTTGGGAATTAAAGAGTAGTCTCTCGCTTTCCTGCTGGCAGGCAGGAGCTGTATATATATCGCTGCTTATTATTCGCTGTAAATGGCTGTCCTGCCAATGTAATTCACGGCCCTCAATGGCTCTAGTGAACACTGTTCGTCTTGGTCTGGATAAGGAGTCTGGGGAAAGAAAGAAATGCAGCAGTTCAATGACAGGTAATCTGAAGTTCTAACTCTTATATGTCTTCTTCAGAGTAGGAGGAAGAGAAGAAGAATAGTTTGTGGTTAGTGAGAGCAGCCATTCTACCATCTGTCTAGGTACCATCTGTCTAGGTGCTGTCTCTTTATTGGATAGCCCTTAATGTATCTGTGCCCTGTATGGGAACAACCTTTCTCCAGAGATCTATGGCTGCCCTTTTACTTCTACAGAAGACCAATTTCTCCTAGGACCAAGAGCCACATGAAAGAGAAGAGGGACTGTGGTGCCCAGCTGCTCAATTATGAGGATACAAACTGCTTCTATAGAAGTCAGAATAAGAGAGAAGCAGTTAGGTAATTTCCCTGGCCTATTTATAACCTGTCTCACTTACAGCATGACCCTTATCAGACTAAGGACTTCGATATAATTGATATTAAAAGTTGAAAAAGAGCTGAAGCCCTGTGTATTCTGGTCCCTTTATCATACTGATACCTATAGGCTTACAGGCTTGTTCTCTAATGTGAAAAACTGATGCTGACAAGACTAATTAACACGGAGTCTTACCATGCCATATCTCTTCAGGAAAAAGGCTGCAAGGAAACCAAAACAGCTTAGGGTGGTATATAGGAAGACCACGTGAAAGATACATTGTCACAAACTGTATATACAGAAGGACTCATAGAAATTACATTTAAGGAAATAAAAAAACCATAAAGGATTATTTAATTGACTCTCTGCCAGATTAAGGGCAGCTGTAACTATTTTGGGATCAAGGGCTAAAGTACTATGCGGATGTTTCCAGAGATGCCCAAATGTGGGGGTGTATCCACTGAGCCTGTGCAGAAAAAATGGGAGGGAAAGCCAGAGGATTCAGAATGTACATGAAAGAAATGAACATATTTATTCATTAAGCAAAAGTCCTTAGAATATAGTCATCTCTTCAGAATTTGATATATCCCATAGTGTATTGGCTTGGATGATTAAGTTAGAAAAGCACTGACCATATCTACTGAAATGTCTTCTCCTTCACATTGTCCCTCAGTAGAAGCACAATGTACCTTCTACTGGCTATAGTCTAAGCACCTCTCTTCCTGAACTGAGACTCTACGTTGGGTCTGCTCAGCCCATAGTGGGGATTAGGCTCCCAATATTCATTAAGTCTGCAAATAGTGAGTGCCTACTACATAGCAGGTACTTGTTCCAAGTGCTGAGGATATATAAAGTCCCTGCCTTTATGGGACTTGATTTTTTTAAGTTTATTTATTTATTTTGAGAGAGAGAGAGAGAGCATGAGCAAGGGAAGGGCAGAGAGAGAGGGAGAGAGTGAATCCCAAGTAGGTTCTGCATTGTCAGTGCAGAGCCCGATGCAGAGCTTGATCCCATGAACCGTGAGATCATAACCTGCACCAAAATCAAGAGTCAGACGCTTAACCGACTGAGCCACCCAGGAACTGTGGGCCTTTACAGTTAAATGGGCAGAGATAGTTGAATAAATATATAGTATATCAGATATATCAGATGGTTATGAATACTATGGAAAAGACTAAAGCAGGATTAAGGAGAAAGGCAAGCTGGTATTGGGTGGGGGTTGTTTTAAATTGAAAAAAAACTTTTAATGTTTATTTTTGAGAGAAAGAGAGAAAGAGAGAGACATAGTGCAAGCGAGGGAGAGGCAGAGAGAGGGAGAATCTGAAGCAGGCTCCAAGCTCTGAGCTGTCAGCACAGAGCCCGATGTGGGGCTCAAACCCACAAACTGTGAGATCATGACCTGAGTCAAAGTCATATGCTTAACCAACTGAGCCACCCGGGCACCCCTATTGTTTTATATAGAATGGTCTCTAATAAGGTAACATTTGAACAGAAAGCTCAAGGAACTGAAGAGCAAGCCTTAGGCATTACTAACGGAAGAGTATTCCAGGCAAAAGTAATAGCAAATGCTAAATCCTGAGGTGGGAGCATATTTGGAGTGTTTGAGAGCAGTGAGGAGGCCAGTGTACTTAGGATGGAATGAGCAAGCAGGAAAATCATAGGAGATGAGGTAAGAGAGATACTAGCAATCCCTGGAGGCTTGCTCCAAGGGCCTTACAGGCCATGAGTGAAAGATGAGAAGTCACTAGAGGGCTTTGAGCTGCTGAAGGTATATGGTGTGACCCACTTTTTAAAAGGATAACTGGCAGCAGTATTGAGAACACACCACAAGATGGAAGGGGAGAAGCAGGAGGAGCAGTTAGGAAGTCAATGCAATAATTTGAGAAGGATGATGGCAACTTGGCCAGAGTAATAAGCAGTAGAGATAAGAATATACAGATTCTGGATATATTCTGAAGGTAAAGGCAATAGTATTTGCTCATGGAATAGATCTGGAGTGAGAGAGAAAAAGAATCAAGAATGGCTCCATGGTTTTTAAGACAGATTTGCCATATGTGGAGATAGGGAAGACTATAGGAGAGCAGGTTTGGGTGGGGCTTAATAGGTAAGAAATCCTACTGAGATGCCTATTAATATCAAAGTGGAGATATTGAAAAGGCAGCTGAACATACAAGTCTGAAGTTGTCGAGAGGAAAATTCTGGTCAAGGAGATATAAATCTTGGAGTTGTTGGTATACAGATGATTATTAAAACAATGCAATCACCAAGGGAGTATGTATATAGAGAGCAGTGGTTTGATGACTGAACCCTAGGCACTCTAACATTTTAGGTTAGGAAGCGGGGAGGAGACAGTAAAGGAGACTGAGAAGGAGGAACCAATGAAGTAAGAGCAGAACCAAGAGAGTAGTGTCTTGGAAATAAGATGAAAAACATGTTTGAAGGAGAGAGTAAACAATTGTAACAAATACTACTGTCAGGTCAAGTAAGATTATGACCAAGAATCAACCACTAGATTTGGCCATATTTAGCAACAGTGACCCATACAAGAGCAGTTTCAGTAGTGGAGGGATGAAAGCTGACTAGAGTGAGTTCAAGGGAGAATATGAGCAGGAGAGATAATAAATATATACTATTCTTTTAAATTATTTTTCTTAATTCTACCACTTATTTCTACTACCTCAGAGAAACAGGATGGTAGTTAGAGAAGCATGTGGGAACAACATGAGTGTGTATTGTGTTTTGTTTTGTCTTGTTCTGTTTTGTTTTGTGATGAGAGAGAAAGCAATGTATTTGTATACTCTCATAGGAATAATCCACAAAAATTTGTGAAGCAGGTGAGAGAGGAGATAATTCCTGGAGTGATGTCCTGGATAAAAAAGAAGGAGTAGGATTTTGAGAATAAGTAGAGGGCTTAGACTTACAAGCACGAATAAAAACAGGGAAGAGGAAGAAGATGGGCACAGACAGAAGCAGATGAGAGACTCTTGGAAATTCTCTTGTGATTGCTCCTATACTCTCAGTGAACAGGAAGCAAGGCTATCAGCTGAAAGTGAGGAAGCAGAGGGAAGGGGAATAAATTTTTCAGGCAAAGATGGTATGAAATAGTAATTCAGAAGAGTGAAAGAAGGCATAGATTAGGGAAATGTGGATGTCTGGACAGTACTATGGTCCCATTCAAAATCAGTAGTCATAAACTTAAAGTAAGACCAGTTACTTACACTTATGTTTCTCTTCATCATGTTCAGCTCTGTGGGTGTGAGCACTAAGGAATTAGAGTTGGACTTAGCTACTAAAGTTAGTGTCTTGCTCTATGAGTGAAATAAAGGGAAAAAGAGGTTGAGTATGTAGGTGTTGAGAGTAATTATAATGATGCACCAAGGAATCTAACCTGGATAAGGAGGAAAATGAGGCTACCAGGAAAATGAAAATGTGGCAGGATCAAAATTCCTAGTGGGTTAAAGAATTACTGGAATTAGCATACTAGAGAAAATAAACTAGCAAGACTGATGATGGTTATTAGAGCTGCCTGAAGTTTAGATTATGAAGAAGGTATTGTTATTGGTAATGACAAGGCTTAGAGTATGATCTTGGGATTGCATGGCTCAATTATGGTGGTAGACAAGACTACTAAAAGATAGGAGGTGAAAGAATTAAGAGACTAGAATATTGGAAGGATCATGTGTGTGGCTACTGAAATCAAGAATTCCAATATAAGTAGTGACAGCAGAGAACAAAAATCTTCCAGGGATGGGGGGAGGGCAGGGGCGGGTGTGGGGATTGACCCAGAGGTCTAAAATGACCCAAATCAGAAGGGTAGCAGATAGTATATTTTGATGGCATTAACTTTAAAGCTTCGGGGTATTTTGGGAAGGAGGAAAAGACAATGATACAGAAATGGCAATGAAGAATAAGTGGGATGCCTATTGCCCCATTAGGTAAAGAGACATTAAGAGCTAAATCAGCCACAACTTGAGAAGACTGCAGAAGAAGCAATATTCTCAAATGAGAATCAGTAACAACAAATAACCAATTTGATAAGGAAGAAACTGCCAAAATAGAAGCATGTCTTTACATGCATTTGATTCTCTATGCCTATCTAAAGCCAATACTAAAGGGATGGTGTGTTGTGGAGGTTAGATGAGTGTGAGTAAAGGGTAGCTTAAAGAAATGGCAAAACTATAGTCTTTTCACTTCTTGTTACCTTAGTTGCCTTGAATATACTGACAATCAATTATGAGACACTAGATGAAAACCTGGCAAAAACAATTTCAATTATTTTCTCCTTGGGATTAAAAACATCAGATTTATCACTTAAAATAGAAGGGACTGACATGTAAAATCAATGTGTGAAAAAAATCCCCTACCAATAAAGGTTCCCAATGGGCTAAAGAGCAATCAGTTGCCAACAGCAAATAGCCTGAGTTAGATGAACTAAAAACTGATGTGAATGCTGATGCTCAGTGATATTCGTAGGTCACTGGGCTCAAAAGGCAGAGAGTACAGTATTGTTGGATTTATCTTAAAATGGGGCAAGAGTCCTAGCAGTAATTTGGGAAGATAATCCATTCTAGCTATCTGCTATATAAAAACATTTGAGGAAAACAGAAAAGTAAGAAAAGCAATTGTCGGGCCATTTTAAAAGCTGTGTTTTGCAGGCCTTCCATTCTTCTCTTCAGGTAAGTCTTCTGAGCTAAAACCAACCCCATCCGAGGCCAAGATCCATTAGTCATGATGAACTTGAAAGGTAAAGAGGATTCATGCAGAGGACCCTAGGAATTTATGCTGGGCACTGTAAGGACACTCTAGATACAGAAAAAGACAGCATCCATAATGTCAAAGATAAAAGCTTACCCTTATTTAAGGCTTGGCATTTCAAGACAAACAAAGGACAGGCTTTTCTTACTGAAGGTGACAATACTGACAGCAAACTGTCCAGCCACCTTTGTTTTAGCACTTTACCCTCCCACCTTTGGAGTTCCAGGCACAAAGACATTAGAAGGATTTATGGCTCACCTGGGCTGTGACTGGCATTCTGGGGAAGTGCATTGGTGATGTTGGGTAGCTCATGCCCATAGTTCCCATCCTCCAGGGGACAGACATCCAGGTCACTCCACCTCTGCAGTTGCTGCAGCCAACAGGATTTTTCTTCCAGTTTGCAATGTGGATTTAAAATGATGCATACCCATAAGGCCCCTGGAAAATAAAGCAACCAACATTCTTGATATCTCTCCTCTGATGTATGTTAAGCTTTAATTTTTCAGTCTTTTCTTCTCTTCTATTTTTAGTGGTAGGAAAAGTTTCCAAAACATCAGCTTTTCTCAATATAAAAAAATCAAACCTGTTGGGGCACCTGGGTGGTTCAGTTGGTTGAGCGTCTAACCTTTTTTACTTATATTTTTCTTAAAGTTTATTTACTTCTTTTGTGAGAGACAGAGACAGCACAAGTGGGGGATGGGGGGAGAGAGAGAGAATCCCAAGCAGGCTCCATGCTGGTAGGAGTGTCTGACTCTTGATTTTGGCACCGGTTGTGATCTCATAGTCGTGAGATCTCTCTCCCACTCCCTCTGCTGCTCCCCAGCTCTCTCACACACACACTCTCTCTCTCAAAAAATAAAGAAAGAAAGAAAATCTGCTAAAGTTTTCAGAAATGGCTGATTTTTCCTTCTCAGAGCTTCCTTAAATATCCTTCCTGGATATCTGGATATGTGCCTGTAATGATGAACAAGACCGATTTGGGCTTGAATTCTGAGCTCAGATTTGTAGTCCAACATATATTTATTGAGAACTTTCTATGTTCAAGGCCTATTCTCCTACTGGAGAATAAGACATTGTTCCAACCCTTGAGGAGCTGACTAATGGGGGAGATAGATAGATACATATAATGTTATTTGAATATGATGAGTGTTAAGGTAAAGATATGGGGACAACAGCAAGATAGAGGAAGGGCACTTAGCACAAGGGCAGGGGTCAGAAGGGAGGTGCTCAGAAAAGGTTTCAATTTTTGGTTAGTAGACTTTAGGCTTTCTGAAATTCATATTCCTCAACTGTAAAACTGAGAGCACATAAATAACTACTTTGTTTTTGTTTTTGATGCTTATTTATTTTTGAGAGAGAGAGAGAAAGAGAGCATAGGTGGGGGAAGGGCAGAGAGAGAAAGAGGGAACAGAGGATCATACAGGGAAGGGGCAGAGACAGAGGGAGATAGAGGATCCTAAGCAGGCTCTGTGCTGACAGCAGAGAGCCCGACTTGGGGTTTGAACCCATGAACAGTGAGATTATGACCTGAGCCAAAATCAGATGCTCAACAAGCTGAGTCACCCAGATGCCCCCCAAACAACTACTTTGTAGGGATGTTGTGAGAATTAAATGAAATAACATTTGTAAAAGGCCTAGCATATTACTTGGCACATAGCAGAATTTTAGTATTTCCTTTTTCCAAGAAAAATGGTTTATTTCAGTTTGGATTTTGATACAGTTGATCTATTAGGATGTCTTAAAACTATCACATTCTTGGATCTTCTCTGTCACTGTAGCAGAGTATCACATATTCTATACAATATATGAGTACTGTCTCTCCAACCATATTACCCTTCTTTTCAAGCAAACCTGCTTCTTTTCAAGGTTGGCTATAACTGAACTAGATATATTCTCAATCTCAGACCAGCAATAAGCCTGTCTGCAAAGTATCTTAAGTTAAACATCCTTTGGGATGAAGCTACATCTGTGGATGGAGGTACTTTGAAACACTATTTCAAGGTCCTTCAAACTCAAATAGGAATGGTTTAAAGGCCATTTTAGCCCTAATTTCAGATACTACCCGAAGATAGTGAAAATTCATTTCTACTGGCTCAGTTTTAAAAATCTACCATGAAATAAAAACTACACTGTGTAATATAATAGTATTATATTATGATGACTCTGAAGGGAATTATAGTTAGGATTCACTCAAATAATTATAATAATAAAGTATGGCAAATGCTATCATAGACATACATAAAATCCTATGAGAATATACATGATGGAACAATGAATTCTGCATGTGGGGTCAGCAGAAGTTATAGAAAGGAAATGGCATTTCAGTTTGAAGACTAAACATGAATTAATTCCCGTTAAAGATAGCTAACCACTGGGGCGCCTGGGTGGCGCAGTCGGTTAAGCGTCCAACTTCAGCCAGGTCACGATCTCGCGGTCCGTGAGTTCGAGCCCCGCATCAGGCTCTGGGCTGATGGCTCAGAGCCTGGAGCCTGTTTCACATTCTGTGTCTCCCTCTCTCTCTGCCCCTCCCCCGTTCATGCTCTGTCTCTCTCTGTCCCAAAAATAAATAAACGTTGAAAAAAAAAAAAAAAAGATAGCTAACCACTGTTTCCTTTTGAAACCTCACTAAAATGAAAGTAAAAGGATAAAAACAGGTGTAAACACATACAGACACAGAGAATGGGAGAGATAAAAGAGAATAGCCACAAAATTTTGCAATGTGGAAAGCCTGTGGATGAGTGATAGCTGACCTAGCAGAACAGAAAAGTGGAAACCTCCATCAGTAGTTAGAAAGCCCAGAAGCAGACTGATTCACGCTTCAGAACCCTGCTGAAAGTGGGGCTGAAACTAGTAAAATTGGTTAGAAGTTTGTCAAAGGTCTCAGGATCCCAAAGTTCCTACTCTATTCAAGGCAACTGAGTGCCTGCTCCTCCCCTCTCCTGGAAGAAGACCAAAACTTTATTCACTGGGAAGGTTGATTCAGAGAGGTTCTGGATTGGAAATATTACTCACAGCCAAGGGTGGGGTTTCCATACTAAAAACTGAGGGATGAAATCAATACATGTTGAACAAATGGATACCCTCCAACCCAACCCTAACCCTCAACCCTAACCCTCTTTCCCCCCCTGGTTCTAAGAAGACTATGACAGGCTTATAACCCAGAAACAAGAGACTGGAGGATTCATCTCTGGAAACAAATTAGCCCAAGGACAGAAAACATAGCAGATAACTGAAAAAACCCAGCCAGATCATCCTCAGTTAAACTGACTAACAAGGCCACACACACACACACATACATACATGTGTGCACACACATGCAAAGAACTTCCTTTTAGTTTTTAACTGTTACTCTTAAATAGAAATGGACAGCTAAGAAATGTTAGGTATATGAGGAAAGCATCTGACATAAAGGACAGAGAACAAAAGTAAACAGAAAGAAGAAAAACTTGGGAGGAAATACAAAGAAGGCAGAGAAGAAAGAAAACTTAAAGAAAAAAACCTGCAATTGCTATCAGCAAAATGAGAAGATACTGCATCTATGAAAAAAGTGCAGGATGCAACAACAAAAATGGGCTCTTAGAAATTAAACCTATGGTGACAAAAAATACATTAAAAATTAGTAAGATGTTTGAAAGATAAAACTGAGGAAACCACCTGGAAGATAAAAGACAAAAACGAAAACAAAAACACACCAAAACAACGAGAGAAAAAAATAAAACTAGAGAATCAATCTCCATTTAGTATATTTAGTCATAAGAAATAATCTAGCAATTTTACTATTTTTTGAGACATCCCTTCTGGAACGCTCTATTTTCTTATCCCTAATCTAGACTGTTTGTCTTCTAAGCCTGTTGCATAGTTACCTAGAAGCTAATATCCAAATAACAGAAGTAGTTCCAGACAAAAAGAGAAAAAAAAGGGTGAGGAAATGAAAAAAAATTTTTTTCAAGAAAACATCTTAAACTAAAAGATGCAAGTTTCCCGGTTGAGAAGGTTTAGTGAGGATTAAGCAGATTAGATTTTTTATTTTTTTAATTTTATTTATTATTTTTAAGTAGGCTTCATGCCCAGCACAGAGCCCAACACAGGGTTTGAACTCACGACCCTGAGGTCAAGACCTAAGCTGAGATCAAGAATCGGGAGCTTAACCGACTGAGGCCCCAGGTGTCTCCAGATTAGATTTTTTTTTAAGTTTATTTATTTATATTTTTAGTAATCTCTACACCCAACGTGAGGCTCAAACACACAACAGCGAGACTAAGAGTCGCGTGCTCTACCGACTGAGCCAGCCAGGCACCCAAGGAGATTAGATTTTTTAAAAATTTAGGGGGCGCCTGGGTGGCTCAGTCATTTGGGTATCTGATTCTTGATTCCAGCTCAGGTCATGATCTCATGGTCGTGAGATGGAGCCCTGCATTGGGCTCCGTGCTGAGTATGGAGCCTGCTTGGAATTCTCTCTCTCTCCCTCTCTCTCTTTCTTTCAAATTAAAAAAAAATTTTAGAAGAAGACCAACAGAAAAAACACAAAACTTTCCTGAATGAGAATGGCCTGGTACTTCACAACAGCAGGTGGAAGCTAGAGGACAATGGAGATAGGTCTTCAAAATTCTAAGGGAAAAAGATAAGATTTCCAACCTAGAATTATGCACCCAATCAAAGTATCAATCAAAAGTGAGGGTAAAATCCAGATACTCAGCAATACAAAATTTATCAACTATGAAAAATTCATCTCCCACCCTATCTGAGGAAGCTACTGGAAAATGTACTCTACCAAAACAAGAAAGTAAATCCATAGAGAAGAAGGTGCTGGATCCAGAAAACAGGGGGTTCAACATAGGGGAAAGGAAAAGGGAAGTCCTAGAATGATAGTAAAGAGCAGTATCTACACGATTATCCTGCAGCAGGTTTGGAGAGCACAAAATCTAAACCAGGAATAGGAAAATAAATGGTTCCAGAAGAAATGTCTCTAACAAGATAATAACACTGATAGATTATTTGATGTGACCAAATATACTGTATGCAGATTTTAAATTACTGGTAAATAATTGGAGGGTAAATTAATGATAACAACAGAAAAATCTACAACCTAATAGTCAAACAACAAACAAACAAAAATAATTATTAATTCCTGAAGGGGAAAAAAAGTTGTTTAAGAAAGTAAATGTAGTATTAGTATACTACATGACTGTGCTACAGATATGTATTTAGTCATAATAATGCAAACATTTAATGTTGATCTAACCTCAAATTATAATACCACTATTTTGCTCTCATTCTAGGACTTTCCTTTTCCTTTCTCCTATGTTGAACCCCCTGTTTTCTGGATCCAACACCTTCCTCTCTATCGATTTACTTTCTTGTTTTGGTAGAGTACATTTTCCAGTAGCTTCCTCAGATAGGGTGGGAGATGAATTTTCCATAGTTGATATATTTTGCAT